AGCAACCCATGCCCGGCCTTTGCCCAGCCCTCACCCGGCCTGCTACGGATCCTGTCAGCCAAAGCAGGCGCAAGAAGGTGCCGAGCCAGGGTTCCCAAGGGATCGGTGTGTGCCGATCCCTCACCTGCCACACAAGGACGTGCAGAGCTGGCAGGTAATGGATACAAGGCGGCGGTGCCCTTAGAGCCTGACAAGCAATTTCTCATTGTGCTCCCATCCCACGGGGTGGCGGGGAGGCAGACAGCAGGGGCTCCGTGCAGTGGGGGGGGGGGCGCCATGAAGCCCGACAGCCTGGATTCAAGGTCCATCTCCTCCACTTACTGGTGCTGTGAGTTGCCCCACCTGTAAAATGGGGACAGTCACGTTAGGACAGTACCAGGAAAGCAAAGAGGCTGTTAGGGGACTGAGAAGGTCAAGGTGACACCGATCATTGACGAACGAGTGTCAGTGGTCACTTCCCCACAAGCACCGAAGGCCTTAGGCCGCAGCACGGCGGCCCAGGCAGGCTACACGGCCGCCCCGGGCCCCGCTTCGCCCCGAGTGAGGGAGCCCGAAGCCCTCACCCCGCAGGGCGGCACACGTGGGGAGCAGGTGCCGGTCGTGTGGCTGTGCAGCCCCCGCCGGTTTCTGGAAACACTCCCAGTCTCCCTCTGGAGTTCCCCCTGCTCATTCTCTGTTCCTGGGACTCACGTGGGACCAAACTTCCCCCTTCCCCCACTACTCCTGGGTGGGCATGCGACCTGAGCCAGGTCCCACACCTTCAGCTTCTGCTGGGGCGGTCCTGCCAGGAGGAGACGCTGGAGCAGCCAGCGGTCCACGTGTCTCGGCCCTGAAACAAACCAATGGACGATGCTGGGGCCAGAGACCATGTTGGCCAGAACTCACTCTTTAGTCACAAAGCCCGGACTCTCCCCTTTGGGCTGAAGGAAGTTGAAGTTTTTGTCCCCTAGACCTGCATAAATCCTGATGAATGCCCTGTGCTGCAGAGCACGCGCTACAGCCAGTGGATCGAGGACTCACTGCCACCTGTTCCTTGAAGGGGCACAATCTCCTACCACCCATCTGTCATCCACCTATCATCTATCTACCACCCATCCATTACAATATATATGCAAACATATATGTACCCAAAATCAAGCTACAGGCGCCCCCCCCCCCGCCAACCACAGAAACATCACACCATCGGGGGCCAACGTCTACAAAGGGTCTTATTTACCCACCCAGCACTTTCATGGAATGAAGGGACATCTGTCATTCAGCGGTTGGTGTCTTGGAGACCGTGAATGAAACACCCATACCGCTGCCGAAGGAGGGACCACTCCAACGGAACCCCCTCCTTCAGCACGTGGCACAGCCCGGGGTGCACCCAGCCCCCTGCCCACTCTGAGGACCCTCCCCCGGGAAAGTTCAGGCTCGCAGACCTTCCCTGCAGCGTTACATACAAGGGCAAGATCGTTAGAAACAGCCAAGTAACCTCTGTGACGGGACTACAGTTCGCCATCTCACCGAACTTCTCCAGGCAGAACGTTACGTAGCCATTAGAAAGGATTTACTGAAAGTCTGCAGTAATAATTCCAGGAGTTCCAGCCAAGATGGAGGTATAGGTAGAAACCCTTCGCTTCCTCGCACAACCAAAAGGAAGATGACAACCAATGTAAAAACAATAAAAAAACAGAAGTGCCAGAAAATTAAACTGCCTAGAACTCTGACAACCATGGAGTTAAAGAAACAGTCACCAGACCGACAGCACCACAACACAGCAAGGAGGGTTGGCTCATCCAGGTGAACACCTAAGGCCCCGCCCCCCTTACAACATAACCGATGAGCCAAGAGGAGGAAATACGGCCCAAATGAAAGAACAAATCAAAACTCCAGAAAAAGAGATAAGCGATGAAGAGAGAGCCAACCTATTAGATGCAGAGTTCAAAACAATGCTAATCAGGATGCTCACGGAAATGGTTGAGTAGGGTCAGAGAATGAAGGAACCCAAAGTGAAATAAAGCAAAACATACAGGGAACCAACAGAGAAGGGAAGGGAACCAGGACTCAAATTAATGATTTGGAACAAAAGGGAGAAACAAACATCCAACCAGAGCAGAATGAAGAAACAAGAATTTTTAAAAAATGAGGAGAAGCTTAGGAAACCCTAGGACAACTTTAAATATTCCAACATCCAAATCATAGGGGTACCAGAAGGAGAAGAACAAGAGCGAGAAGTTGAAAACTTATTTGAAGAAATAATGAAGGAAAACTTCCCCAATCTGGTGAAGGAAATAGATTTCCAGGAAGCCCAGAGAGTCCCAAAGAAATTGAATCCAAAGAGGAACACACCAAGGCACATCATCATTAAATTACCCAAGATTAAAGATGAAGAGAGAATCTTAAAAGCAGCGAGAGAAAAGGAGACAGTTATCTACAAAGGAGTTCCCATAAGACTATCAGCTGATTTTTCTAAAGAGACCTTGCAGGCAAGAAGGGGCTGGAAAGAAGTATTCCAAGTCATGAAAGGCAAGGACCTACATCCATGACTATCCAGCAAAGCTTTCATTTAGAATGAAAGGGCAGATAAAGTACTTCCCAGATAAGGTCAAGTTAAAGGAGTTCACCATCACCAAGCCCTTATTATATGAAATGTTAAAGGGACTTATCTAAGAAATAGAAGAAGATCAAAAACTATGAACAGTAAAATGACAACAAACTCACAACTATCAACAACTGAACCTAAACAAACAAACAAACTAACTAACTAAGCAAACAATTAGAACAGGAACAGAATCAGAGACATGGAGATCACATGGAGGGTTTTCAGTGGGGAGGGGGCAGAGAGAGTGGTGGGGAAAATGTACAGGGAATAAGAAGCATAATTGGTAGGCACAAGTAGAAAGGGAGAAGCTGAGAATAGTACAGGAGACAGGAGTCAAAGAACTTATATGTACAACCCATGGACATGAACTAAGTGGGGGGGAGGGCTGGGGGATTGGAGGGGCAGGGCAGAGGGAGAATAAGGGGGGGAAATTGGGAAAACTATAATGGCATAATCAGTAAAATACACTTTTTAAAAAAGTTTGCAACAATGAGATAACACTCCTACCCACCATTAGTTTGAAAGAGCAGGGTATAAAATGTTCTGCATGTTTGCATATCGCTGCTACAGTGATCGAGGGGTGGGAGGATTCTGGGTCATTGTCACCTTCTTTGGTATTTCATTTTCTGAACTTTGCAATGAACGTAGGTTGCTTCGGTGGTTAGAAATGTATTTTAAAAAGTCCCCTTGCACAGCAATGAAAACACAAAGGGGTTTATTTCCCTCAAATGGCTGAAATGTTTGGGCCACTGCCTGGGACATGACGAACTTGCCCTTCCTTCCCAGACTCTAGTAACACACGGATGGGTTTCCCCATGGAAATGCCTAAAGCTGCAGCGTCTGCCAGGCACCCCTGGGTTTCCCCAGGCAGGACGATCCGTGTCCCTCCTTGTTCCAGCACCCTCTGTTCAGGGTGCTTCTGCAGAGAGCAGTCGAAACAACCGGTGACATCAGGAAAATGGGCCAGACTAGACTTTCCCATCGGGTCCGCTCTAATGCTCTGAAGATCAGTGATCAATGATTAGTCCACTGAGGCCAGAATGAAACAGAATTCGTTTCCTAGAATAGTCTGCCCTGTCCCTTCAACAAAACCCAGCTCAGGAGACATTCGGCCAGGGCCACCAGCCTGGCTGAGACTGCTCCAAGGAGCAGCCCTTGCTCTTCAAGGCTCCTGGCCTAAGTCCTGCATAAGCTGGACGAAAGGCACACACGGGGTTTGGTTAGTGGAAGCTGGGGAGCCAGGGGAGGTGGGAGTTTCGGGAGGAGGCTATGTCCCGTGCAAAGGCCCAGCGGCAGAGAACCACCAGCAGGGTGGCGTTTCTTAGATGCAAATTTAAAGCAAAGATAATAACTAAGGATGGAGAGAAGGTTCCAGAACATGGATCCAGCAGGCCATGTGGGCTGGATTCAGCACTTGGAATTTAGGGTGCCGTCCCAAATCCTTCTTACTATCGGCACTATGGGTGTGATTTTGTAAAAAGGCCCCTGTAGTGAACCGGTTTGTCTTGGTCTGGCAAATGTGACCCAGCTCTGTATGGAAAACCTACAGAAGTGGTGGGCAGGAGCCAGACCTTCAAACCGAGTTTTCCTGTGGGAATCAGGCCTAGAAAATGCAGACGGACTGTTATGGCTTGCTCTTGCTAAAACTCCATCACCCCGGTTTAAAACAACAAATGTGTATTATCTATCTTCAAGGTAACTTCCAAAGCCTGTGTGAATTTGCACAAGGACAGAGCTAATCAGCTCATCGCCATTCCCCTCTGCATGTTATTTTCATTTCCTAGATTGTACCTAAAATGTAGACAATAATATTCTATGTAATAGATAATAAATCTTTCTCTGATGTAAGACCCAAGAAAAACAGTAAAAGCCTGTCTAGGCAAGGGTGGGGGCGCTCCCCTCTTGAGGGAGTGGCTGAGGCACCATAGGCACTCTCCCCGTGAGAGAGTGGTCGTGCCTGTTCCCTTTTTCCACACAGGGTTGTTGTCGCCTGTGCATTCATTCTCGTCTCAGACACAGCAGGCGACTCTGCTGCCCGGAGCCCCTCCACAGTCCCCCATGGAAGACTGTGTTTGGCATTCTCTTACCACACCCCACATGTTCTCAGATGGACAAAATTGCCTCTAATTTATCTTAAACTCTGACTCATCAGGTACGAAAACAATTAAAATTTAAATTAGGCATACGTTTAAAGATTTCATCATCAGAAAATGTACTTTAAAAAACTACTCATCACAAAATATACTCTGCAAAATATCCACAGGTGTGTTTGAACCCGGAAAAGCACACTCCTTTCTCTTCACAGCCCAGAGGATGCCTACCGCAGAGCCGCAGAGCCACACTGGCGTCAGCTGCCCCAGGACAGGGTTTTGCAGGCTGGGGGCGGGGTTTGCAGGCTGGGGGCGGGGCTACTCACCACAGGTTGACCAGGAAGGGGTGCTCCAGCCCCTGCATGATCTGCAGTTCCCGGAACACGTTGCGCACCTCATCCCTCTCGATGCATTTCTGCTTGTTCATGTACTTCATCGCGTACATCTTCTTCGTGTCTCGCTTCTGCACGATGCATACCTGAGTGACAGCAATGGGAGAACGCTCAGGCTGACATTGAAAAAGAAAAAAAGATCAGCCCTCACTGCTGTTCTGCTTGGGGGTTCAAGTCTCTGTTCTGAAACCTGCCCGCGGAGCAGCTCTGGCCACGCCTGCAGGTCCCCGCACCTGAGACGTGGCGAGGTTGCATCGGATTTGCCTGCTTATCTGATATTTACCCCTGACCTCGGCCAGTATGGGTGCTGGAGAAGGAGCCGGTACACAGGAGATGGAGGGACCGCCAGGGGGCCCCCTCTGCAGGCCTTGAAATAGGCCGGCAGGGCCGGAGGGTTCACTGAGGTGGAAGGAGCAAAGCCTGACCCACACTGGGACTTGGGCCACTAGCCCCAGGCCCCTTGGCCATCCAGCAGGGTAAGTCTGGGGCTCCCAGAGTCTGAGTGTGCCCACGGGGGTGACTGGCTTGGGGGCACCCCCTGTACAGGCAGCCTTCCTGCCCGTCCTCCCCTGACACTGTACACCTGTCTTCACGTGCCCACTGCTCCTGCTCCTGAATTTGCATCCTTGCCCCGGAGCTGCTCCTGTGAAAGCCCAAATGAAGGCTCGAGGCCGAGGCAGGAGCCCAGGAGAAGTTGGAGGGCGGTGACGGCAGTGACAGCGGTGACAGTGGCTCTGTGGACTGAGTGCTTCACTCAGGCCAGATGCTGAGCAAACTGTCTCCTTTACCTCACTCAGTCTCCACAAGACCCTGAGGAATAAAGCATCCTCTTCCCTCGAGGACGAAGAGGTGGCAGCCCCCAGGGGCCATTGAACTTGCCCACAGCTCCACAAGCTGTTGAGTGGCAGGGCAGAGGTTCAAGCCCAGGAGGGTCTGACTTCTGAGCGACTCCCTCACTGGGGGCAGCAGGACTGATGGCCGGAGGGGTCTCCGCAGGAACTCACGCCTCCCTCTCATCTCAGGGCTCAATCCCCGACTCCGCCTCCCCAGCCCCCACTTTCCACCTGTGACGCTTCCTCCCACGCCCACAAGACGCCCTGGTTCCGAGTCCCTGACTCTCCTCGGTGATGACCATGGGCCCAGGTGGCTCTTGCCTCCCGGGGAGGAGCCGGAGGAGGGTGACCCCACAGCAGCTCAGAGATGGGGAGGAATTAGAAGAGACCCTTCAAGATCGAGTAAGAATTCCCACTTTTGAAGTGGTGCTCAGGATATCTGAAGAGCCCTTCCGAGTCTGACTTCTGTCCAAGCTGTAAAAAGGGCAGTTGGTACAGGATGTAGGACAGAGCTCGGAAGTTTGGGTTTACAAGTAAAGAGAGAGAAGCCCGCAGCTGGAGAACTGGAATGTCACTTACACCGGGTCCACCAGGCCCGTGTGGCCGCCAGCAGGGTGGCAGACCTCACTGCCCGGAGTTCACTGTGTGGAGGAGGGGCTTCTGTCCCTCCCAGATCCGTTCCTGCAACGACCATGTGATGGCGACCATGTGATGGCAACCACGTGACGGAGGGATCCGCCAACCACAGCCGCATTTCGGTCTCCTGAGCTCAGGACCGGTGGTTCCAGAGGGTCACCAGCACTGCTCACCAGCAGGCCACATGGCACGGGTCCCAGGAGCACTCGATGTTGCAACCCCAGAGGTGGGTCCCCAGGGGCACCCCCACACCTCAGCTGGGCGGCCTAGAGCCTTTCCGCAAGAAATCACAGCCAATGAGGCGGAGAAGGAGCAATTTGGCCAAAGCCACCCAAGCGGCTAGAAGCAAGCACCCAATTAACATTCCTCATTAGTCTAATTCACTTAGGAACTGATGTATCATTAGTAATTACAACTTATTGGGACAAACAAATAAATGCCAGCTAGTGTGGATTTCGGGGGATCTGCCCTAAAAAGAGCCTGCGGCACGCACACTGCACGTCGGAAATGGGGGAGGGCCCCGCATCCGCAGAGAGTGAGGGTGCCGAGAACCCTTACCCCTGGCACCGGGGGTCTCTGGCCGGACTTGGTGCTCAGCCTGAGTGTCCTCGGTGTCCGTCACACCCGGAGCTCTGGGAGGAGCCGGAGTTCTGTATTTTCAAGGGCTCCCTGTAGGGTCCGACAAGCAGACCGGTTGAGAATCTCTTTGCTGGAATCTTCAGGACAGTCTGCCTGGCTGCACCCTCAGTGATCTTAGTGGTCGGGATTTGAACCCCTACTTTACAGCTCAGGCACGCCGGCTCTGAGGACCCCAGCCTCAGAGAGGCCGGAGTCGAGCTGGGGCCCAGAACAAGGTGGATGCAAGGCCAGCACTGTCCCTCCAGAGCCCTCCCGGGGGCCAGCCCGCACCACCCCCTCTCAGCTGACTCAGCTGACCCACCCCAGCCCCAGCTGGGGCGCACCTGGCAAATGCTGTTGAACGCATAAACAGCTAGAGTGTGACGTTAACAGGCACCAGCTTGTTTGCAGGAGGAAGATCCTGGGAAACACCCGATGTGGGGGAGGGGAATCAGGATTAAACACGGTTACTATGGAGAGGGGTCACACTGGGCCCAGTGCTCCAACACCCCCAGCTGGCAGGAACGCTGTCTCTGCAGGCAGTGACTGTGAACTGCCGGAGCACATCGTCCTCCTCCTTCTGAAACAGGATGACGCTTTTCTTCCAGGAGGCAACACAGTCCAGGAACTACCTGCGGCCAGGTAACTGTGGTTATGTCTGTCTGCTAGAGGCTTCTGGGAAAGGTCCTGCTTTCTGGATAGAAGGGAACAGCTACAAATGGTCCATGTTTCTATCCTCTGCCACTTTCTTGTCTTTCCTTCCTTGAACATGCACGTAATGTCTGGAGCTGCAGCAGCCCCTTATGACCATGAGGCCAAGAGCATCTCAGAGACGCTGAACCTGTTACCATGGAGCCACCTACCTTCCCACTTCTTTTTAGGTGAGAAAAGTAACCCCCTCTTTGTTTAAGCCACGGCAAAGTAGGTTTTCTGCTTCTTGCTGCTGAGCGCATCTGATGCACAAGGTGCAGGGCGATTTTTCACAGCATGCAAAGCCCGCGTGGGATCTGATCAATGGCGGCCTCACTGGGGCGGGCAAAAGCTGGCCTCACAGAAACAGAGACCCAAAGGGCGGTCACCCGAAGGCAGGGTTGGGGGATGGGGGAAAGCGGGAGGGGCATGCCATCAATAATATTGCCGTAAGTTAGCACCGTGACAGGTCATTACTAGAATTATTAGGGTGATGACACTGGAAGGTATAAAAGTATCAAATCACTACACTGTAGTACAACTGAAACTAATATAGCCAATATCAGCTCGTACACCAACTATCTTTAAGGAAAAAATTTAATTAAGATAAAACAGTTGGCCTCGAAAAAATAACTCACTTGGATGAGCGAGCATTTCTTGAATGACATCCTGAGGATGGGACAGGCCCCCCAGAGGATGGGACAGGCCCCCCAGAACTCACGGTTCAACGGGATAAACAAACGACGCTCGGAGGCAAAAACCCTCCCCGTGGGTCATGGGCCCTCCCTAGCCTGGCCCACCTGTTACTCTCCCCCGGCCCTGGCCTGGCCTCTGTGCCGTCCCTGTGACAGTGACAGTCTTCCCCCTGTGCCCATGGTCGTGGGCCCTCACCTGCTTAGGCTCCGCTCACAGGTCCCCTCACGGGGGAGCACCCGGTGCGAGAGAGCCAACGCCTCCTCAGCCCCCTGCTCCCTGTCCCCTCCATCACCCTGACCGGCTCCTGCCACGGCACACGCATCTTACTCATTAATCCACCGTCCATTCCCCCCGCTGGTCTGTGAACCCCATGATAATGGGGGCTTTTCTCTGTTTTCTTCACTGCTCCGCCATCAGTGCCAGGACGGCACCTGGCAGGACGCAGGCGTCTCCGCGATACCGGAGGGGAGCTGAGTGAGTGCATGGGTTGCTTCTCTCCAGGAAAGGGCATGAGTACGTGGGCTCAGGGACTGCAGGGGAGGGACCCGAGCCCGGGTACGGGTTAGGGAAAGGCCTCGCGGGAGAGGCTGCCTTCGAACCGTTCCTCCCTGGTGTGGACCTGGCTTCAGGAAGACGGAGGTGCAGGGGAGGCGGGAGCAGGGCATTGTGGGGAGGGGCCCAGCCCTACTACGAGCAGTGCAACGGGACCCGCCGGGAGTGTGTTAGATGCATCAGTAGTTTTCTCATCTGTAAAAGGGGGGTAAGAGTAGTAATCACCTTAACAGGTGGCTAGGAGGGCCACACGGTAAGCACTAAATTATTTATTTTGACTGCCACTATGATTACCATTCATACATGTTCTGAAGGCAAGAGCAGAGAACATTGTACAGATGGGCAGAAGTGGCCGCAGAAGGACCCCAGGAACAAGTTCCCAATTGCCTGGGGTGATGGTTAATTTTAGATGTCAGCGTGGCTGGGCCACGGTGCCCAGATATGTGATCAAATATTACTCTATATGTGTCTGTAAAGGTGCCTTTGGTTAACATTAATTTTTGATGAATTTAAATCAGTGGACTTTGAGTGAAGCAGATTGCCCTTCGTAGCATGGGTGGGCCTCACCCAACCAGTTGATGGCCCGCAGAGAACAAAGACAAACCCGCACAGGAGGGAATTCTACAGTGGACAGCCTTTAGAACTGAACTGTAGTATCAGCTTTTCCTGGTCTCTAGCCCGAGAGCCTATCCTCTGGATTCGGGGCTCATATATACACATCCAGTTAGTTCTGTGACTCTGGAGAACCTTCAGGAATACATCGGGCAATGAGCCAGCCAGGGTCAGAAGTCAGCACCTGAATTCAACTTCCCATGGGCCCAGGGCACCACCGAGGTGTCCATGCTGGACACCCGGTTATTCCCCACTGTCCCCTAAAGTGCTCAAACTGCTAGGCACCTGATTCCAAACTGTTCTCCGTCAGCACGTGGAAGGAGCAGCACCACGAGGAGCATCCCTCCAGGCACGTCCAGCTGCGCTCCGAGCCTTGCTGACCTCTCCTGGGGCCGCCGAGAGCAGCACACCCACCACTGACCCTGGTCCCTGAGCTCCAGCCTCGCCAG